TTGTTATAACGTATTTTATAATTGTATATTTTATTTATTTTTTTTTTAATTTTTCTAATTTTGTAAATAATCTAAACAAATTTAGCTTACAAAATCTCCAAAACATAATATTCAAAATTTCGTTTCACTCATGTTGTAATCCGATATGATATCCGATATTTTTGGTCGTAATTGCAGCAAGATTTTAAGAAATGTGTTTATAAGAGATACAACAAAAGAAACATAAATGTATCTGTATCTCAACAAAAAAAAAAAACAAAGTAAAAAAATTACATATTATGATATTCATACTCAAAAGTAAAAATTAAAACCTTTTAACAGATTCCACTTACGATATTTACACAACTTAGTAAGTCAAATTGATCCAATTTTTCATAAAATGCAAAACAAATTTTGATTATAGAAATCTTTTTAAAACGCTGAAAAAACTATAGCAGCAACMACACTAACGGGTTGACAGGGAAAAAAATCAATATTCATCAGAAAATCTAGTAAAGAAAAACTTGGTAATGTCGTAACTTCGCTTCTCATTAACTTTATTTCTAGGTATAATCTTTTCAGCCATTTTGATTCGTGATGGAGTGAAAGGCGCTATTAACTTCGAAGTGACGTCACTTAATGCTCAAGATATTACTTCCGTAACAGGTGGGCAGATCAGCACGAATGTACTTTAACATATCTAGCTTCAAWAGATTAACCAGCCCCGCTGGAGCAGGTAACAAAGGTAGGTTTTCATTTCCAGCTGCTCTTTCTTCAAATATCACATTTGATTGGCYTTGATTCAAATGAACTTAGATTAAAAAATAAAAAATTTGAAGGGCTGCGTTAAATCATATTGAGCATATTAAGCGGGGAARCTTGTGTATATATTAGTTTAAGGCTATTAGGAAGGGAAAGCTAGCGAACAGACTGATAATAGCAAATCGCCCAACTGATATGCAAAATCAGTCGTGGTCTGCACAACTGCAATCGTTCAATCTGGTTACCGCTTTCTTTGAAGTTCATTTTGATAATTTTTTTTCCCGTTTGTTGTTCTTCAGCAAGTGACAGTACCAGATTTCAGCTATAAAAACAGCAAACGTCGTTCATCTAGAATAGTTTCTGAAGAGAATACAAGAAAGTCCTCGAGAAGGGAATATAGAAGAAGAATACATCAAGTGGAACTCAAGTTGGAAGATGAATTATAGCACTGCTGCCTTCAATGCAACAGCATCTAGTTCTCAAGACAGRAACAGCAGATTATCACAGTACCCCATTTGGTACTGGACTTTACGTGGAATCATTTCTTTTGTAACTGTTCTAGGGAACGGTTTGGCTATATATTTAATTTGTTCCCRAAAACAGCTACGCAAAAAGAAGTCTCCAAACTGGCTTATTCTTTCACTGGCTGTAGCCGATTTCTTTGTCGGGTTATTCAACATCCCTTCCTCGATGTTCTGTAGGTTCTGGTTCAGTTGTAACTATGTTACATACCAAACTATCAACTCTCTGATGGATGTGGTAATGATAGCTTCTGTGACTAACCTATGCGTATTAACTTTAGACCGTTACGTAGCTGTAGTTCATCCCTTTCGCTACCTTTTCATGTCTACTAGATTGCGGGTGCGTCTACTGATAATACTCGCATGGTTTATATCGATTTTTAAGGGTGTTCCGTACCTTATCTTYAAACTAACACGTTACGAAGACGGCTTATTTGTGGATAGTATTATTTACATGATTTTATTCACCGTGGTTCCGAATCTATTAACAGTTTACGCCTATACAAGGATTCTACTGGTAGTCCGACGACACAGAGTCAAGATCAAGGAACATGAAATGCAAGTGGCCGCCAACATTGAAAACAATCTCCAAGATCAAAAAACCACAAATACCAAAGCCCAAAGTGGGGCAGTAGCGGCTGTCGGTATACTAAACCTCATATTTCTATTCTGCAATGGATTTTTCCAGTACTATTTGACTTGCAAGCTTATYAAAGGGTGTGTGGTACCTACAAATCTGCGGTACGCCACATTCTTACTGCGGTATTTTAACTCCGCGCCTAATTTCTTTGTCTACGCATTAGCGAGAAAAACTTTTCGTGACGAGATCAAACGTATGTTTTTTTAAAAGTACATTTATGGAGATCAATATCCATAATTGCAGTGAGGGCTTGCAAACACTATATTAATCAATCATACTATTGTAAGTGTTTTCTATTGATTTCAAAAATCATCAGTCTTACTACTTTATAACTGTAACTAATGAAAATTTAATTCAAGTTCATCTTCGCAAGTTTTTTTTTCTATGATCTTAATCCCACAGCATATTCATCAGTACATATTAAAAGTACATTTATGGAGAGCAATATCCATAATTGCAGGGCTTGCAAACACTATAATAATCAATCATACTATTGTAAGTGCTTTCTATTGATTTCAAAAATCATCAGTCTTACTACTTTATAACTGTAACTAATAAAAAATTAATTCAAGTTCATCTTCACAAGTTTTTTTCCTATGATCTTAATCGCACAGCATATTCATGACAATGAATAGTCGGAAAACGGCAAGTATTTGCTTACATGATGCCGTTGGTAACGCCTTGATTAGCGTCTGGCAACACCAAATTTGTCGCAAAGACAAATCTGCGCGTTCTTGAGAAAGACTTTTTAGGAAAAATAAAAATTAACTGGAGTCACATATTTCTTTAGGATTTTACATAAGTATAACAACAAATTTTAAAGCTGAAAGCCATAAAATTACCAATATCTAATAATAATAATAAATGTTGAAATCATTATCGTTACTTACCATGCTCTCGTCACCATCACTTTCTTCTTTGATAGCACTGATATATTCATCATCATCATCATCGGTCTCTTGATTATCATCACCGTCATCATCATCATCATCACCGTCATCATCATCATCATCACCGTCATCATCATCATTATCATCCATAATCCAAGTGGCCTGGTAATCAGAGGTGCCTTTCGGCACTCGTTTACTAATCTTCTTGGAATCCAACTGCTTCTTTGCCAGCTCTTATCAATAACATCAGAGGGTTACAGGAAGACAACAGATTCTGATAACAGTGCTTATCAATAACGCAAGTGGAATAAGTCGCAAAGAAATAAATGTTGGTAGGAATCAATCAAGGTGTTTCCACAACAATAGGTGCACACCTAGAAAATCTTGTGTTTTTTTGACAATATCTTGGTAACACCATGATTAACGTCCACAAAAATTATTCTATTTTGTCATGACAKCAAATCGTACATTACGCACATGCTATTTATTCAATAATAAAATGAAGAAATAGAAAACGCGCGCGCGTGCTGTGTGCAGTTATAAAGCACRCGGGGGTTGGCAGAACACGAGAGAAGTGTTAGGAGAAGCGTGACGTGTAGCGGAGTGCTTCTTGACACTTCTCGAGTGTTCTGCCAATCCCCAAGTGCCTTATAACGGCACACAGCACAGCAAGCAAGTTTTTTATTTCTTTTATAAAATACAAATTACAATAGCCGTTATTTTAGATAGGAATGACGCAACGCAAAGTGCGCGTGCGTGCAATGTGCTCTAATAAAGCACGCGCTCCAAGCCAATCAGAACGCGACATTCATAACAGTTATTCTATAATTGAAATTACAACATAATATTACAATTCCAACTAGCCCCATCACCCAATCATACCCCCATACAACGAGGGCAAGATTTTATAAAAGAGATCCAGATACTGGATTATTATGAGATAGCTAGARTCATAGGCCAGAGGTTGTGATGAAAAGTTTTGCAGGTTTACCTTCAGCTTCTAGTAACTCATCCTCTGTCGGCCAAGTTTGTTCCCCCTCCATTGGATCAGGTTCTACTTCAGACTGCAGACTCTCTTGTAAACCAGGATTTGCTTTGTCTATGATTCTCACATCTTCTTCCATAGCACTTRCACCATACTCTTCATCCTTTGGGAAAAAAGGCATTTCTTTTGAGTCAAGGACTCCCAGAACTCATGGAGAGTATATTTTACRACAATTTTCATTTTACATGACGCAACACAAATGTCTGGGTTTTTGGGTGTCCATCAAACAAAAAATCAGCTACTCAGAAAATTGGGCATTCGATTGACGGTAGCTAAAAGCAAGGTGTCTTGAATCATAGCAATCATATTAGAATTATATTAYGGTTATCAATCAAAAAAGTATTAACTCAAACCATTTGATCAATGGAAGCTAAAAACACAGACGGCTTGAATTATAGCTAGTTTTCTTGGTCACATAGTTATTTTCTTAATAGAATATACACAATATAAATCTAATTAGTTATAAATATTTTGATTGTCATGACAATATTATCCTGCATCAAACTATCTTCAAACCAAATGAGACTCGTTGTACATACCACAGCCATTGAAAACTGTCCTGCCTTTGAATTCTTTCTTTGTCGTTGTGAAGAAAATGGGTCAGTTACAGCTTCAATCTGCAAAATATAAAAAACATACTGAATGAACTTAATGCTATGACTGAGTGTCATATGTGTTAGAGTTGCTTGTTAGTTCTCTCCTCATCTTTTACTGTGGGTTGAACAGTTTTCCCTCCCTCCATATAAATCAACTTCTAAAGTAGCTACTCTGTGGCTTTAAACCCCATTTATTTATTCATCATTTTACCTGACTCATCTGAAAGTCTCCAAAGCCAGCCAAATGAACCAATCTGTTAGCAGACAGTGTTTTTCCTCGGACATACCCAGTGACCTTAAGTGTACCTCTATCTGCATCTTCARGGCTGCCATTAGGTTCATAGGTTACGTTGTGGGCTAAAAGGTGAGGACAGTTGTCACGGAAACTAATTGATTTTTGATGCTGATTGGATATTAGTCTTAGAGCAACAAGMGCATCCTGAAAAACAGATAATCTTTTAATGCACTGAACTGAATCTGGAATGTACACTGACTTTCATCTTAATTCTTTACACTTYTTTCCAATCTTGTTCACAAGTTAATTATTTAAGCTAAAATTAAACTGGTTGACAGGGYAGAAAAACGGTTTTTGGCCTTTCGCCATAAGGACAGCTTTACATATTTAARCTCAATATTTTGTAAWCGCATTCTTTTGGAGCCAAATAGCAAAATATCAAATGTGACCAAAATTTATTGAATGCTTGTTTGAGATATAAAGCTGTGTACTTTGGGAGAGGTGATACTTTGATCAGCAGAAAAACTGACCTTTTCATGAATACTAATAAGTAGATTTACTCTAATCCGACAAAATTTCGTCACAAGTTTCGAGCAGCAGTGACACAAATGAAACGCTTAAAAATTTGGAGTATGGAGCATTTGGAGTATTAAACTCAGTTAAACAAAAAAATCGTGAAAGTAGCGGGCTTGTCGTTTTTCTGCCCTGTCAAACTGGTTAGTTCCTGGTCATGACTAGCCAAATTAGTTTTAGYTTTGTCATGTCTCATTTCTGTCATTATAATTCCTTTATAAAATTTTCTGAGTAGATAATTGCATAATGTAAGATAAATATAACTGCTGTAATATTTTAGTCCTGTTAGTTTAACAAGTGAAGGACAAGATCTGCACTAACCTGTGCTGTGTCTAAGAGGTGTGGCTTGTCTTTCAGGAACCTGAAACAAAACCAGGAGGTTATTGTACTCTAATTCTATTTTATCTCACAACTTCTGCTGAACAAAATCTTGATGTAATTTATCATTCAATGAGGTTCTCAGAAACAATAGACTTCAACSTTGAGCATAATGTTTTCCAATTCAAGGCCACATGTTCTCCCTTTCACAATATATTTATCTATTCCTGTTACGAGTTGAGTAATAAAGAAATAATACTCTTGGGATGACACATGTTCTGACAACATAATTCCTTATTTCTTTCACAAGTTGGGTTACAAAGAAAAAAAACTCATGGGAATGACACATGGTCTGAAATGGAAAGCATTACACCTAGTTCTTAGAGATGTAATCAAAGACGGGCAGATCCAGAAGTGGTAAAATAGATGATTAGTCATCCCCCTTTTGCTCAAATTTCTTAATATATCATTAGTCTGACACAGTCACCCCCCTTTTCTACTYTTGTAATAGTCACCCCCCTTTTAAGATTCCTGGATCTGCTCCTGAAATAAGATGTTGAAAATGTTCTCCTTTTCCATAAGACACAATAAACAACCTTTTTATGCATACCTCTTTTCTATCATCTTTGCAATTGCCTTTTTAGTCTCATTTTTCTTTTTAGCTGGACATTTTTCTAAACCCTGCATGAAATGCATAAAGAAATGGGGGCATTTCAGATACCATCTATCAAGCCTGCAAGTTAGCACTGGACATTGGACATTTAAATTTAAAACGGTAAATTAGCRTTCTTGACTGATGAATGTTCGGTCTGATCATGACTCTATAACCTTCAGACAGCAGTTCAGTGACCTAGTACTGAGAAAGGCTTAACACTGAGTGCAGGTCTAAAAGGCAGGTCTAAAAGGCAGGTCAAAACAGCATGAAAGCAATTCTTACAAACACTTTAGAAAGCTTTTAAAAAATGTTACTATGCTGTACTATGAACACTTCCACAAGTCGCTTGGCATCTCAGAATTTTTTAGTCGTGTAAACAATTCTGAAATGCTTTTCAAAAGCCCAACTCATCGGATTACATGTTAACAAGTTAAAATAAATCAAGGACTTTAATGCCTGTAAATATATTAAGTGATTATAAATATCAATGTTATTATTATTATTATTATTATTATTATATTATTATTACTATATTAATATTTGGTGATACTACCCCTTACTAACCTGTATACAATGAAAGGTTGTTGGTAGTCCTTGCGCAAATATAGCTGATAGGTAATTGTCAGTGTGTGAATCTAATGGATTATCAGCGGCTGTTATGAAGACCACAGTATCTGCAACCTTAATAGCATTTGAAGGAAATTATGCTGTGCTATAGAAAAATAGTTCAATAAACTACATAAAAATATTGAAACTGTTACTTCACAAAAATCAATATTTTACCTTCATAGCATCCAAGACAGAGTACAAGTCTCCATAACTTAAAGCCAAAAATGTAAAGCGTTGCTTTAGCTGAGGAGATCTGATGAAGAATGTAATACAAATTATTTTTTAATTAAGATAACAGATATGAAAGATTTTTTAGCCTCATTTTGATTACTTATTAAAAATTCATTACTGTGCTTACACGATAGTTGTAGAACTACTTGAAGGAAACACAGAATTCTCTTCATCGCATGCTATAAAAAGCTTAAGAGCTGCCTGTGCATCAGCACTAGAAGATAGAGGAACTATAGCCTGCAAAAATGAAAAAAAGATTTTTCTTTTATTAGTTAACTGGTCAAACACAAAACATTTAACTAAGGCTGCAAGGTAGTTTTAAAGTATTATTGAAATATGTACCATCAAGCCTCTTATTTAACCCAGACCTTAAAACATTGGCTGCTTGATGGAACGACATGATGACCCGCTCCAGCAGAAAGATCAAAATGTGACTAGTCAAWGTAAATGGACAAGACGACTGGCCAAAGAGGCAATTGGCCAGACAGACATTGTCCATTCACAGGTAGATCCAGGGTGGTTGAATTGAGTGGCTAGACACTCCTAGAATAAAGGACGAGGTAAGACCTAAAAAGGATGCTATGTGGTGCCTTTCTAGGTAATAGTCACCCGCYTTGAAATCATTTTGGATCTGCCACTGTCATTGATCAGCAGTTATTTTGATCCCAATAACCAGTGAATTAAGGGGTTAAGTGAAAATCAATGAACCTTCCCCACTTTCCGGCCCCACTTGGATAATGATAAACCAATTCCTTTTGAGGACTGGCATTAGGAGAATAACAGCTACAGCATGGAGTTTTCTAATTGGTTGAGCAGGAAACATGATTGCATGAAGTTCTTACGATAAACCAATTCCTTTTGAGGACTGGCATTAGGAGAATAACAGCTACAGCATGGAGTTTTCTAATTGGTTGAGCAGGAAACATGATTGCATGAAGTTCTTACGATGATATGAGGAGGACTTCCTTGCTTTCCTATCTTCCTTTTCTGTTCAAGAACTTCATCTCTTTTMTTGGATCTTAGTTGCTTTGCCTGGAAATATATCATATATATGAAAAAATCAACCAACTAGTAACAGAATTTTTATTAAGATACAGGAGTAAATCATTTTTCTGTACGTTCCCAGACTCCCATAAAGAGAGATAAAGAGATTCAGAGAGATGCCTGGGAAGAGGCTAAAGGCAGGCTTCAGTGTTCAATAATTTGCTTAGCTTTAGATTTCGTTCTGATCTGCGATTTATTCCCATTATTACCTGATGTCTCCTGTTTATCTTTCCTATACCTTGCTTGCCACCTTTTTTCGATAAAACTTTGACAGATACTCTGCCTAGTGAAGAAAAGAAAATGAATTTATAACTCTACGAAATAACAGCTGGTTTACGTTTGTTTAGCGAGGAAGATATYGTAGAAAATACGACGTGATGTCAAGTAAAATGGACATGTGATGAAGCTTTACCTTTATTATGTTTGTCCATGGTTCCTTTACTCTTGTGTCTGCCGTGTTTATGGGTTTTATTCTGTTGTTTAAGTGGACCAGGTTTGTGTTTTTCCACCGCCATCTTGGATTATTATTGCAACACGTGCTAAAGACCGCTGACAACAAAACCACACAGGAAACCCATAGACGACACTAATCTCATACATCAGTCCAACTCAGTGATAGTCTCCCCCACAGCCGCTTTCAGTGTCGTCACGCAAGTGGCTGTGGGGGAGACTAACTCAGTGATGGACAAAAATCGATTGATATGCACAAGCAAAGACAAAGTACTGTCAAGATATCAAAGAAATGAATGATTTAAACGAGGTCTGATTTTTTGTTTTTTTTTATTCTATTTTTTTAATTTTTTTTTTTTTTTTTGCAGTCATTGCACTTCACAGCAGATTCTTTTACTCTTTTGATATTTCCGGTGATTTCAGAAATGCGAGACTGAAGCGCAACCCACTTTTTTTCACCTCAAAAGCAGATATCGTTGCTTTATTATAGAGTAAGGATAATAACCAAGCGACGTTTCAATACTTTGTGTCTTTTATGACAGTTTTAGCTGTTTTAATTAAAGTAAAAAAGCCAACATTGGACATGATTATTTTTTCAGAACTTCATTCAATTTTGTCAAAAATATCTTCAACTAAATCTACAGTTCTTTGAATTTAAAAATTTCCAAATAAAAATTCTAAATTAATTCTTGATGTTATCTTTAAACTGTTCAAAYTTCAATGCCTAAACAAACAGATCAGTTCAGTGATGTAAGTACTGCGATGTGATGCGTTGAAATAGTGAAAAGGCCGATCGAGTCAGTACACTCGAACCGTCAACACTTCGAGTTTTTTTTAATCTTGTAAGATGAAGTTGATATTCATTCTTGGTTCATTGTTATCGAAATAATTCACAATTGAACGACACTCTAAGATAGTATGAGTAATTTATTTATCACGCTGAAACAATTATCATTAACAGTTTTACAGGATGGGACCAATGACGCTGATTGATTAGAAAAATGCTCAGCGGTCTCATGGTACAAATGTATACGGAACTAGTTAGCATATTGACCATCATCATCTGGTCAAACCTGCTAAGGCCGTGCGTTATGGCATCAGCACACTTTAACTTTTTTAGTGGCCTTGCTGTTTTTCCCCGACCAGCGCCGCCAGGTCTGATCAGTCCCATTCTCATAAATGAGAATAGAACACTTTCTCATTATATTCGAATTCTTCTTTTTCTTTCTTTCAAATTGCGATTTTCTTTTCTAGTCTGTAAAGTGGCTGGTAGCGGGATACGAGAACTACGATTTTTTTTAGTCTACAGTAAGTATTATCCTACTGAACTGTGTTTAACACGTACAACTTAACGCGTTGAATAATGATCATCTTCTGTTAAAGTTGCAAAACTAATCAAGTTTCAGTCCAGCTTGGCGTAGTCTATTATAAAATGAGGTTACTTCCCAATTGCGGCCGAAGTACTACTGTGAGTGGCTTGCCATCAACAATTTCATTATCGGTGAATGCCTTATTTGAACTATTAATATGAATGGGAAATACGTTCTATTGTAAAGGAAGTACTATACGTTCTATTATCAAGCTGTCACAGCATACAGCTGAAAGGCGCCCCGTCGTCTAAGCACAAAATTGGAAAATAATCCAGTATAGCTAAAAATATTTGTTCAGCTTAAAGAATTCGACCTTGAAATGGAAAAACGCTTATCTTTCTTATACTTTAGTCTAGTAGTACTTTAGTTGACCACTGAATGACTAAGATAGGGGGAGGGTAGTGTGACTGCATGACGAGGGATGGATTATTAACTATTCAGAAGGGCACAGTTGAAGTCAACTATATGTTAAGAAGAAGAAAGAAAATAAAATACTATGTTGAAAACGTCAGCTTCTTCGTCGATTCATATTTCGTAGTTTCAGTTTTTTTCCAAAATTGTTTTGGTTTTTTTCATTAGTTATATTTATTTTTCCAAGGAATTCTTTTGGATCAGTTCTCTATTTCGACCACTTCCGCCTTGGTTCCCATCTTTAACTCTTGYGCATCCTGAGTATTTCTCAGCTGAGAAGGCTTTCTCTTCTCGGCGTCATCTATTCCCGCGCTTTGTATGGCGTTGAGTGAGCCGCGGCTCGTGCACGTCTTGATAAAAGGAAGAATCTTGTAATATTCTACGCGGAATTGCCTGTTCATGACTCCATATATAAAAGGATTTATGGCTGTGCTGCTGAAACCAAAGCAAGTGTAACTCAGGTAGGTTTGGCGAGGGAGCTTCCAATCACCGTTTACGAAATCAATCAAGTCGATTACAACCACCGGTGTCCAGCAAACGAAGAAGCCAAACACAACTGCCATCAATGTCCAGGTAATATTGATCTCTTCGACACTGAGACGTAAGCTTGTAGATTCGTTGTYGGTTGACGCATGTACCCGAAAATTGCTGTTGTGTCGACGAACGCAGATGAGGACTTTAGAGTAGCAAAAGATGATGATGACGAAGGGGATGGTGACGTAAGCTAGCACCAGAACAGCGCCATATCCGCCAACAAGGGTATCAAAGTTGTGCGTACAGAATACTTTTCCTGGATGGAAGAAGAACTCTTGTCCCATGAGGACATAAGGAAGAGGAGCAAGAAATGCTGCTATCCACAGAACAGCAATGGTGATTTTAGTAGACTTGACTGTGAAATACTTGCTGTAGACGGCGTTGGAGCGRGTCGTTCGGAAATATCGGTTAATGGCTGTCAAGGCAAGGGTTTGTAACGATACGGCGCACAGCAGCAACACAAAGAAACCTTGTCCCTGACAAAGGAAATGTCCAAAAACCCAACTCCCAGTCACTGTAGAGGCTGCAGAATATGGAATACCAAGTAGAGACATTAGCAAGTCAGACATCGCAAGACCAATGATGTACCAATTGAGGATGTTTTGCCGCAGTCGAGGATTGCGAAAAACTGCAAGAAGAACAAGAAGATTGCCAAAGAAGGTTGTSAAATTGATTAGTATCATGAAAAACGACTCCACAATGACGACTGCGACTCCTCTGGTCGTCAGCTGTTGGCGTAGTCTCTCGATAAACGTTTGATTATCCATTGATACGTTGAAGGGAAATGTTTCTCAGAGAATTTCTGAATCTGAATATTTTGAGGCGAGCTCGTGTTCGCTTCCTTGTAAAGGAACGGCCGGGAAGTACGTGCAATGAACGCCGCGGGCACAGGTCTGAATAAAAATGTMAAATCTCCAACTGTTTTTAATGATTGGCAACTGAACCATCGATCCAATTCAGACGCGAATGATCCGGGTAGAAATTACCCTTGTCGTTTGCTTTAATCTTCAGTACTAACGAGTCGTGTTTCAATTTGACTGAGATCTCTCATTAACGAGTGAATGAAATGCTGCTATTATCTTGTAGTTCTCCCTTTGTGTTGAAGCTGTTGAAAAAATCTAGATCCTGGTCCGTGTGTCAGAAGATCATACTCCAAAGTCGAGCCGACTACGAACCTTAAAACCCAAACGCGAAAACAGAAAAAAAAAGATTTTTCCTTTTGTCGCAGATGCTTTGGTAATTGTTATCGATAGTTTAGCGGATTAAAGAATTCTTCCTTGAAACCTTGTTGTTCATGTATCGAGTGCCATAGTGGTTTCTTTTTCATTGATGCATGAATTGCGTTTTAATCTCTACACATCAGCACTTGTGAAACATTTATGTTTGAATACAAATTAAAAACAGGCTTATTTATCTTGTGTACCRCATAAATGTAGATATGTAGGATCTGTGAGTGACATGGTAAATACATGGTGCCAAATCTTTATAGTGCAGTTGGTGAAACAGTAGGACCGCCTTCGAAATTAAAGCTGATACCCAACAAAAAAATTATTGAAAATGCTATCAAATTTTAAGATGAGGAAAAACTGTTTTTTTCTTTAATTGACAACATTGATCAGTTTTTTTATAGACTTGAAAATAACTACCCGCCGGACAAAAATTGTCATGGTTCTGCTATTTTAGACATGCTTAGTTCTTGTTAATCGTATTACAGGAACTTGACAATTTCTTTCGGTTCTCGAGAGCTTTAAAAGCACAGGGCTTATTACCAAAGACGCTGTGTGATTGCTTTCTTTGTAATAGATAGAGCTAGATATGTTTCATTTACGACTGAAAACCGCATTCTACTTAAGAAGATGAACCACCTTCCTGTAAGTCAAAAAGAAAAATGTATCACTTTCAATTATACAGAACATTTGCTGGAATACATTTCACATTTTCAGATCATATCGCGCATTTCTCAATTATGAGTTTTGTTCAGAAAATGCCATGATTTTTCCGATATTCGTTCAATAAATGCAACTAATGAAAACATTATTCCACACCACGTGAAGACCCCTCTGGTCTAGACATAATATATCACACTGTCAATGTACCAAGMCCTTCAAGGTTCTAAGTATTTTTGTTTCCCACTGACACGGTTTTGAACTGATATATATTTTCAGCACGTTCACAATACCGTCCTGTGGGGTTTTCATCACTTTAACCAACAACTCTCACGTTCGTTTTCTGCGCTAAAACGTTTTTCAGTGGTTGGGGGAAACGTGGCACTTAAATTGTCAGAGTAAATGCTATAACTACTCAACGCCCACTCAATAGAAATGGCTTGAACTAGCGCATGCGCACGTACTAGTGGAACATTAGTGTCGTTAGAAGTCTAACTAAACCTGCAGCGAAAAGAGTGGATAACTGGAATTGCATTCCTTCCGGGACCTACACTGAGAGAGCTGCATGCATTAGTCATTGCTTTGCTTGATTACTTGTTTCAATCCAACTAAATATAACTACCGCTAGTAGGACCCCAACTGMAATTATCTCTCCACTCGATACAATMCTTGTGATGGGTTATTTATTAAACAAGTTGATGGGTTGTCTAGTTTCACATCACGTTCGAGTCATTTGATGGCCGGACGCGTGCGTACTTTCCAAAACACTGACAAAAGCGGCACATCATAATCATATTTCTTTTTCTAAAAGTAWAACGAAAGCCAGCCTCAAATTTCACTCAAATTCGCCCAATTATCTTGCAATTGTATCAATACCTGTAAGCACTACGAWTAAAGTCACAGAAATAGGCTAGAATACGCTGGCCTCATTACCGTGTCCTGATAACAAAATAAAGTTGCTAAAAACTTTCTGGCGCTACATGCCCTATTAGTTACTATTACACGTACAACGAAAGATAAATAATCATGACAAGTACGATTTTATAATCAATGACATGCTTTTAAAGATTAAACAAACATCAGGGCATGTTTGGATTTGAGTAAAAAAGCGTCCTTAACCATCGACTGGGACGAAAGTTTCATTTTCAATTGAAATGAGGGGAAGGGAAGCGATGTTTTTTCTTTTTTCTTTTGCGTTCACTGTGATCATATGTATGCATTAGGCTTTCGTAAAAGTCTCTCCCGCAATGTCTAATCAATCCTTACTCAAACCAGAGAGGGACTTCCGTTAGTCTGACTAGGATTTCTTGATATTGATAAAAGGTTWCCGAACTAATTATAGTTGTTCGAACTGAAATTTAACACAAATGGAGTTCGATCAATCCGCGTTATTTTAATCCACAACGATCAGTATTCCTTAATGACTATGGCATTCACAACTACTTAAAAAACCGAACAATTCAGCTCAAATATATGATGCTGTTGGTGTTACTCTAGTTTTTGGTCAAAGTAACAAAATACGCCTATGTTTTTAGTTTCCTTTTACAGTTCCATTGACAATATCGGTTGAGATTTAAAAACTCATAACTCATCGAACCGTTAGATTATATTGGGTGGCACAAATAGATAAAACCTCAAAGAATGAATAATATATCCACCTAAAGGACTGTGTACGAATGAATCAAATTATAGACATGCGCAAAGGATACCTAAACGAGGCATTTCGTCAAGAGGGCCTAGCCTAGTTAATAGATRCGTAGTCAGGTGTCCAAATATTCCAAATAATGACAGAAAAATTGTTTGTGCTGAGCGTAAAATGTCTGMTCAAACTTTTATTCATTACCGGTTTGATTTTATTTGACGTCATGATGGGCGCCATGTTGAGATGAATGAAGACGATTTGCTGCATTGCAGTTGTTTTTAACCTGCACTGAATACTGATTGATGGCTCTCCTCTGCACTATCCTAAAGACATGAAATGTTCTAAGTATTTTGGTATTTAAAACGAAAATAGATTTTGCTCTTAATTATACATCTATTAATTTAAAAGAACAGCATTTCCCCCCTWACTGCCCGAGTGGTTTCCTAGATATCAAAAACATGGTTGAAACTTTGTTCAAGACGCCGGCCATGTAAACTTACGTTATTGTCAAAGTCATGATCGTTTACACARCCCAAAACTTAATTTGATAATATTTGTTCTGAAGAAAAAAAATTTTGACATCAAACCGGAATAGTATTAATAAAATTCAGGAGTTTTTCATGTACCTCGTAAGTGATGTTTTGACAAGAAAAATCAGAATAAAATTTACGACCTAAGAAAAAAAATAATGAAAAAGTTATTGAATCGATAATTTTGGCTTTGAGCTTCCGTGGGTCCGAAATGAAAAGTAAATGCAAAATACTGATCAAATGATATATAATCTCAAAAATACGCGAGGCGGTTGACTATGACGCGATCGGTTGCCGTGTAAAAGTAAAACTGTAGACGCATGCGTGGAGGTAACCCTGAACCAAGCATACATAGTTCACATCAAAGAAAAGGTTTTTTTCTCTCAGATTGTTTTTTTCATTTCCTTTTATTGCTACTTGTTTCATTGGCTCATTCTGTTGCTGGATTCAAACCRTTTTAACGCCTGCCTCCACTAGAGTAAAAATTAAAGCGTGAAGCATAAACCGCGCATAACAAAGAAGGCTTACAYCGACTGTGACAACAATACAAGCTATCACTTATGTTTACGCTTGTTTTGCTCGGTTGAAAAAATCTTTTATACAATATAAAACTGAAGCAGTTGGACTTAGATCTACTGAAACTGGTTACAGAGACAGTATCGAGGTCCTTGGTCTTCAGGCACTGACAAGGCGGTTTTTCTTAATAAAACTTGCCAAAAAATGGTTATACATTGCCAAAACTGTTTCGCATTCATCATAATCAAAATGTCGGTATCATTTACAATTATAAGAAGACAAAATTAAGTTGAACCAAAAACAAGTCAATTAGACTCACAACAATAGAAACAAACACAATAAAAACAGAGAGGCGATAAAGCGGGTTTCTTTAAATATTTTTTAGTGCGAAATCTTTTCAAATCACACACAATAGGATTTCACACTGCACAATTAGCAGCATTATTCTCATTTATAACGTTTTATACTCGAATGTTTACAGACGCGAAGTTTACGCGCGCTTTTTCAGAACTAATCATCAAAAATTTTCCAAGTCTTGAAAACTATATTGCATTACTATTTTGATCACGACTCACATAATTTATATCTTAATTTGTTTAATATGAAAATCTTAACAACGAAAAATAAAATGAGAAAAAAAGTAACAAGCTTTTGCATCGCAGACCGGGAGTCATTTTGATATGACGTCATATAGGGCGCGGTTTCGCAGCGCATATATAAAGACACGCGGTGTTCACGTAAATCTCACTTGACAGCTAGYTACGTCGGGTTGTTGTAAAGAGGAATTTGTCCAGGAATTCAAGAAAAATACGCATTTTAGTTATTCGAGGATGGAAAACCCAGCACTTATAACTAAATATTAYAGTAAGTGATCAATATGTGTATGTTTGAGTTTACGTTTCATAGTTTTTGAGCTTATTTTCGCTATAGAGCACACATGGTTGTCAACTCTGTCAACTACTTGTAGAGAAGCTACTTGAATTTGTTATGAAGAATTATTATTTATTCTTACCTCTGCTTCCTCGTAGTTTCCCCTGAACCAAAGCAAACCAACATTTTCGTTACCTGTAATCTGGAGAAAAATCCCGACRAGGTAAGTTAGGGCAAGATGCTTAGTACTAGTAATTTTCGGCACCGAGTTTATCGTCCATCATCAGTAACGATGTCGGCGTTTTCTTCTTCTTCATTTTGCCTCCTCGAGTTCCACTTGATACTATTGTAATCTTGAATAACAATACATATAATYTCAAAAAGCAAAATCCTCCCAGTAAAAAGTTTTAAATGCTTTTAAAGAAGAAGAAGTATCGAGGGCTTGATATACCTAGAGGCGTGAGTTTGGATTTCTAGACAACATTCCTTCAAAGTTTCATTTATAGGCATGAACCATTAGATAATTGATGGGAGGTCGGGGGGTCAACAGGAATTTATGTTGCACGATATTTRTTTTTGTAACAGCTCCTGCACGAAATTTTTTGTGTTTCGATTTCTTTTCTGAAAAAGAGAGTGCACAATATTGTTTTRTTAGGTAAAGTGCTTGCTCTATCATTTTTTTGATGTATTTACGCACCCCTCCCCTCCTAATAATCTAATGGTCTGTCCCTTATTCTTCTCTCTTTTTTTAGAGTTGCAGTTGCGAAAGAAGGATTGAGGAAATTACTTGTCAAAAATGTGGCCATGTGTTTTCAGGAAGAAAACGAATTCAGTGCAACATTCACCCAAATGTCATTCATCTGATGGATTTTTACCTCTGTCCTAAATGCAACAAAGAATTATAAATATATTAAATAGATAATAATAATGTTATACATATATAGAGTTGCGTTTGTGTTTTATTCATTTTCAATATGGATTATATTTWAAAAAATCATAGTGCAAATGTAATGAATTATCCTTATCCGACCGTCTCTCAGTTGAGGGTCATTTGTAGGCAAAGGTGTGGTGCATTGTGAGATAACTGATAATTATCATTTATTTAATATTGATTCTATATTAAYCTGATACCATTTAGAAGTGTCATTGATTCGTAACTTTTGATCAAGTGCATTATCGTTCAAAAACAAATACCCAAGTTTTTTTATGTCATGTTTTCAGAACAGTGCTTTATTAGGAACAGCACTGACTCTTCTGGTTTTGTATATTATTATAATTATGGGAAAAAATGATATTGATATTTTGTATGATTTATGAAAACTGCAAATATGCATTATAGTATAGCTTCAGTGCGAACATGTTTTGTCCATTAATGAACCCTTCTCAAAAGTATTGTGGATACAGGGTTAACACAAAAATTCAAAAGAAATCAAACTTTGTAAATGGAATTTGTTGCATTTCTTTTGTATTTCCATGTTAGCATCAAATTCAAGACAATTTCAAGAAGGGCCCATTCATGGTGTTGTTTGTACTGATGCTAGGCCAGAATATTTTGTGTTTAKGATAAGGTTGTATAATAATTGCTTTGAGTTTACATGGACATTTTCATTGGTATACTGGTACTATAGCTTTCACATTAGAAAAGGACATTATTTTGTTATGGTTGTTCCATTTGCTTCAAATTTTCACATCTGATTTGTAGATTTATGAGTTTCGTCATGAATTGATTTTACTTGGCCTGTGAAAAATTAGTTAGCACAGCACATAGTCATTAGTTTACAACCTTCAGTTGACAGGCCAAATCACTCTGCTGTAATGGAATTAATTATGATTGTAATATTACATCAGATTTGTTTAAAAATAAA